GTTTTTTCTGGACAGGTCTTCCCCTACGTCCCGTAGGTTCACCTGAAGTTGATTCAAAAACTTAGATCGATCAGTGCATCGGGGATCTCTATCGGATTTTTTGGGTGCCTTGCTTGGGTTAACTTCAAATGTGAGCCAGCAGTGATCGGACATTGTAGCTTGTAGTCTGACTACGAGAATTTATAAATGTTGAGTTGTTCACTTGGTTTAAGATATGAAGGTTGTTACCAGTAATATATTCATAGAGTGACTTACCTCTGACGTTGCTGTCCATACTACCTCAAGTCACATGATGTGCGTTGGCGTCACAGGCAAAGATGACTTGCCATTTCTGGTTTTGGCAGTGCGTGATCAGGTACTCCAACTCCCTTGAAGGTGGCAGTGTTGTCACATCCTGCGGCAGAAACACTGAGGTCACGGTCCTTATTCATGGAACAGGGGAGCAGCGTTCCCAGGAGAACGAGTGTTCCGTCTTTCTCAATGACATGCAAATGACAATATAGGGAACAAAGACAAAACACTCGTTCTCCTGGGAACGCTGCTCCCCTGTTTCAAGAATAAGGACCCAGGAGTACGACGCGTTGGTTTCCCAGCCACGATGAATTCCATCTTCATAGCCGTCGTCCGTTAGATCGGAAGTGAATAGATGCCGTAGTGGCTGGGCTTTGATAAGCTGAGGTACAAAGCGGTTCTCAGCTTTTCTGTTTTGGGCATGTTGTAAGTGTGACCACTTAGTCCAGTTATTTTGGATTTGATTACCCAAGGCTCTTGGATAAGTGCCAGTGTGTTCTGCTTTTTATCAAGGTAGTGGTAGAGTACCGCCTTCGCAGCCCGACTATGGTGCAAGTTGCACTGCATTATACTTACCATGTGTCCCTACAATGAGGCTGATGATCTGAGAGGTAGCTTAAGTGGTTGTCGTAGGGTTGACGACTGATGTTGTCAGCTCTGGTTGGGAGTTAGGCGTCCTCTGGAAGGAGGGCCCCCTCGTCCACTGTGGGAGTAACAGTTGGCTCAACCCCCCCAGTTTCCATCTCCATTGTTTTTCCGGCTCATCATCGCCTGGATTTCCCTTTAGGGTCTTGTTAGGTTTCGTGATGGAAGAGGAACCACTTGCTAATGTTCTGCTCCGGGTTCTGTGCTGCCAGGCGACGGTTCGTTCTCCTCGTGGGCAGTTCGAGCCTCGAGGGAGATACACAGAGATACATTTGCAGTCGATCGGCACGCGGAATAGCGAGGTTGGCATTCTCCTAGGACTTCAGTCCATTTCGTCTTCGATCGATGATTATAATATTAGTTTCCGATGACTGGTCTTGACACCGACTTTGCGTGGTTCACTTGCCTATACTGCTTATAGATTCGTGATCTATCGTGTCAACTATTTTCATTATAAGCAATGCAATTATGAATTTTTATGGAAACCGTGAAAAGTTGTTTGAGTTTAAACAACTATCCTCCTTGATATGACATATCCCCCGGACTTGAAAAGCAGGGCTCAATATTGTCGATAACGATAAACAAAATGTATGGGTCGAGCCGTGAGAAAAGAGGTATCAATTTTTTTTTGCCAAGTTTTCTGAGTGTTAATTCTTCAGGGTTAAACTTCAAACGTGTGGCGGTCGGACCTCATTTTCGTTCACTAACCCAATATTTTGGTATAACCAAACGAGAATAATACCACAATATCAACATATGTTTCTACATACAAAAATGAATATGACGACTTTTTCTTTTGGTCGAGACTAAAATTATAGGTAAAAAACATAAAAAAAAATGCAAAAAATTAATTTTAACTTTGAGGCTCCATATCTCGGGAAATAAAATAGCTATTGAACTTTTTTTTTACTCAATTATAGCCCAAAATATGCTCTTTTATATGATACCTAAAGTTGTAATTAATATTAAAAAAATATTTAAGAAACACAAAGTTTTGTGAAAAAAGTAAATAAATTTTCTTCTTTCCATCTGATTCACCTCGACCTATCTCGCTTGTGTGAAATCTTTTGGAAATTTTTTTTGAATCAAAAACTGCAAAATTTAATAGGCTTCATTTTTTGCCAATTAATGTAAGGTCTATTTTGAAAAATAAATTGGCTAGAGCGTTTTGAACGCGGCAATGCACACAGCGACAGCGGTTAAAAAGCGTGCCGTTTTGCGCCTTTCGCGACGAACTCTTCGGAAATTTTTACACATATTATTGATATTTGCAGCAGCTATGAGTGCTATGGCTTGTACTAATGTGAAATATGCATACTTATGTATTATTATGAGATATTTGGTAAAAATGTTTAGATTTAGGTACCTACTTCTCACAGTCTGGTAGATATAAACTGAAAGTCCTAAATTATAACTAGTATATGCCCTTTTTTTATCAAAATTATTCAAAACTGCTGAAGATGTGGAGATAACATTTGTATCGAATGTGCTGGTAGAACAATCTGCAAAATATTGTTCATCAAGAATCCAAAATAGGTAGGTAGGTACTATTTTATATAAAGATTCTGGAATCTCTGCCATAAAGGTACTTTTATTTAAATCTTATGGAGTTAAATAATGTCCCATAGAATTAAAGCCTTTATGACTCAAAATTGCCTTCCGTAATATTCCTGCTGCTCTGTGAAACGCTAAATTTTCATTTTCTTCACGTACAAGTTCTTCCTCAGAGCCCGAGTGTTCTTTTGTAATAGATGCATACATAATATCGTATTCATATTCCTTCGAAATTACAAGTGTAGGTTTTCCTGGACGGCTCAGAAATGATAGTGATTCACCTTATTTGCAATATCCGAATCAATATTTAAGTTTTCCAATGTATCTTTTAGTTGATTACATATAGGTCTTTTAGCATTACACATTTTTTTTCTTCTAAGATATATTTGAAAAGCTTCTTCTTCAAAATCACTGCATTCAGGCAAAACATTTACTTCCTTAGTAAAGCTGGTCATATTTCTTTCACTGATAAATTTTGTGTAGCAGGATTGGTGGTATTTCACATTCGCATCAGATAAGTATATGTAGAATTCCATTCGTCTATGTATAATGCTATAATTTCTTAATATTGAGGTTTCCAATATTTTTTCTCGTGTACTGCTTCCAGTTCCCGCACTAATCGAAATTAGGCTCTTCTTTTTTACTGTTCCGCTTTTTCCACCGTTTTAATGTTAAAATTTTCACCACACCTAACATATCCGCTACTGGTACTCGGTGTATTTTCTGGAACATTTTGGTCAGGCTCAATATCAATTTTGCTGCAGAAAGACTTTCTGCAGCCCGAATGGAACCTAAAGTCCGAAAGTTTTTTTATTTATTTCGGATTGTTGAGATGAAATATTTAAAGAAATATTGTCATTTCTCAATTGTGCCGCGGAAAATGTTGAGGCATATCCTCTTAAAGTAAGCTCTTGAATAACATCCGCGCATCCTATCAATGTTGAGCCACAAAATATGCAGTTGTCTTTGTTAAAATTCATTGCTACCCTACAAATAAAAAGAATTTACTGATGAGAAAGAACTCAAGAGGAAGTATTATTTACCCTCACTAGATGCAAAAACTATTTCCTTATAGGGAGTTTCACTAATGAATAATAATAATCCCAAAGAACATCAGATCACTTGTCTTTATTTAATGGTTTTCTAGAAAAATTTATGAATGGTATAGATATTGTAGGTATAACAACTTTAGAGTAACAGCCTCTATCATTATTTTCTACCATAAAATAAAACAAAGAACCAAACAAATCGACAGCAGACCGAGTTTTTTGATCTATTTAGATAGGTACCATCACATCTTTATTAGAAAACAACAATTTACCCAATCTCGAAATTTCTTCCTTTGTTTTTCTCTCTTCTATAATGGACCACTATCCGGTTATGATAGATAACAGGCACAAGAATTTATTACAGAAAAGCAATGGCAAATCAATAATTGAATTAGCAAGTAAAATAAATTTTGAGAGATTCCATGAAATGCTAGTGAGGCAGGACTGGACCAGTGTCCTGATGTTGGGGGATGCAGAACTGGCTATGAATCAATTTAATCTTATACTATCAAATATTAAACACATATCTACAACTATAGTGACTCATAAGAATAAACATAAAAAGATAAAGCCATGGATCATGGATCACCTATATTATTATTGGTGGCGGCAGGACGCGCTAAGATGCAAATTGGCTCGCATTTAAGTCGCCGCCGCGGTGTGCATTGCTGCATTCAAAAGGCTCCAGCTAACTTATTTTTCAAAATAGACATCACATTAATTGGTGAAAAATGAAGCTTATAAAATTCTGCAGTTTTTGAGTTGAAAATAATTTCAGAAAGGTTTCATGTAAGCGAGATAGATCGAAGTGAATCAGACAGAGAAAAGAAAAATTTATTTCTTTTTTCACAAAACTAGGTATTTTTTAAATATTTTTTTAATATTAATTACAACTTTAGGTATCATATGAAAGAGCATATTTTGGGCTATAATTGAGTAAAAAAAAAGTTCAATAGCTATTTTATTTCCCGAGATATGGAGCCTCAAAGTTAAAATTAATTTTTTGCATTTTTTTTTATGTTTTTTACCTATAATTTTAGTCTCGACCAAAAGAAAAAGTCGTCATATTCATTTTTGTATGTAGAAACATATGTTGATATTGTGGTAGTAATCTCGTTTGGTTATACGCCAATATTAGGTTCCTCTCTAAAACGACGACTTATTAGCGTTCCGCCGCCGGACTACTAATCCTGTCATGTGCGGTGTCTTTAAGTTGAGTCATTATAACTTGTAATTGGATGGCTCTTCCATATCGCATATTTCCATGTTATAAATTACCGATGACAAATTCAGTGACATTCGATGTTAATTTCACCCTCATTTTACCCGTCATACGTGAAAACACAATTTGAATTTCACTCAAGCGAATAAGCTTTACAAAGAAAATTTCTGACACATGTCCGCGATACTCTATTTGTTTGCCATGCCGAAACTTCGTTCTCAAAGTTTTGTTTGTTGCAGATACAGTTCAGGAAATAGCACTCCGAACAATAGCATCCACACCAATTCTCCGCCGGCGCCGTTCAGCACCTTTGGCTACAATAGGAAAGCTGCTGATAACAAATTTAAAGCCGAAGCGAAAATAGAGATGCATCACGAGAAGTCTGCGACGCCGATGTCCAAATATGACAAAAGGTGGGTAAATCTAACAAATTGGCATATGATATCAATTTTGAGTCATTCTCAGGAATATTTTCTGGAAAAAATTATTATTTTCATAATCTTTGCTTTGTAATGAGGTCATTTTGGTGTGTATCAAACATCTCAAAATTATGTTTTTCATAAGGTAAACTAATCTCCGTCCAGTTAATTATTTTGTTGTGATATTCTGATTTCAATAATCCGACTAAAATAATCGTGGAAATTTCACATTATCGATTCAATGTTGAATTCGTGTGACATTGGCTCATTTATTTCCCCTAGGGCTTACTAGTGCCCATTATACGAATTATTAACTTGTTTTGTCAATTTATTATTTTATCTGGAAAATATTCTCCTACCCAAAAAGATCTGATTAGGTACATAAACACATGGCTTCTTGTATCCATTAAACATTTAGATTGTATTGTAGATTTTGAGTTTGAGTATAGGGTAATGGGTCAATTTAAGAGTTAATGATAACTGATTTCTGGAACTGATCTGAAATTAACACTCTGAGTATCTCCTTGAGTTTCTTCGAAGTTTTCTTCGCATATTTTCCAGAATATTAATTTTATTTATTCCTTTCATTATGTATCTTGAGATACCTGAATTTGGGTCAGGTTTCAATCTATATCATCATAGACTGTGAGATAGGGGCTGTTTAGTGGAGTAATTTTTTTTTTTGTCTGGCATTTCGAGGGCTGAATGTGGCTACTAAGCTGATGACAATATGAGTGATTTTAATGCCTGCCTCCCGTTCGAAAATTTGCAGAAGAAAAAAATTGATTTACATGAGGAATTTTTTTTTAATGATCTCAAATTTTCTAGCTTTTAAATAAAAGATTGACATTGATAAATAATTCACCCATAAAAACTACCAGATGCTTTTCAATAGCTGAAAAAGTGGGGATGAGTGTCAACTTCCAAAAGAAAAGAAAAGAACCTTCCGCGTTTAATTTTTGTCTGGTAATCGAGAGAATGGAAGGTTTTGTTGTGAAAATATCGCTGAAAAATCGCCAGACGGTAATCCCAGTTCGAAGTCGAGTTTTTCGGCGAAACATTCTGTGGACATTTCGAACAGGTGGCAGGCATTAAAACCACCTATATTCTCATCAGCTAACTAGCCACATTCATCCCTCAAAATGCCAGACAAAAAAAAAATTACTCCACTAAACAGGCCCTATCTCAGGGTCTATCAGGATATCCTTTCATGTTTTTCAAACGGAGTTATTTCTCAAATCTGCATCTAGTCCCGTAATTATATTCTTTAAATTTTCATAAATCAGCACAAAGTAAGTTTTTAAATAAAATTCTATCTATTTCTTCAAGGTACAGCGTCCAAACGACCAAATCGGCGCCGGACGTAATAGTGACCCACTGACATATGCTAGAAAACGATTGGGAGCCATACAAAAGGAGACACCCTCGGCAATTTGTGCGTTCTTCCAGAGTGGACAGTACTTTTGATGTTGATTCGAACGGAGGGACTCAACCCTAAACTCTGATTTTCAACCGTGATACTTCTTACGTTTGTTTTTATACGGTAAAGTTAACACTAACGGTTAATCATTGCTGAGCTAACACAAAACGTGACGATTTACAAGTCAAGGGTTAACCAGCATATTAACTTGGATTTATAACAATGGCCCTTAGTATTGTTTTTGTTTATATTGTATATCGATTTGTTGACAATCTGTGTTGACTGTTTTTAAATGAACTTGACAATTATGAGTAAAAGCTTGAGTTGTATATACTTTTATTTGTGGCAAAATATCATTAAAACTCAAATCAGAATAAATTAAGATATTAGAGGAATACTAAGTTTTTTCTTTGTTTTCAATTAATTGAGTTGCTATCAATCTTCATGAACCTTTTTCCCCAAAAATCCTTCTCAACTTAGTATTTAAAGGCTTTTAAAATGATATAAAAATGCCTTCAAGTAAGGCTTTTACCATAATTTTCATAAATATAAATATTTACTGTAGATAAATTAATGTTTTCAATTTTTTTTTAACATTGTCTGATTGCCAGAAATATGTTAATTGTTCGTGTAGATTTCCCTAGTGCTGGAAAATATGGGAAAATATTTCTGGCACTCGGTATACATCTTATCTTTCTGTTAACTTTTTCTCTTGTAATTTTTTTAAAGATAATTTTTGGCATTTTCATATAATGGAATGCTGTTTCTCCTTAAATAAAATGTTTGTAAATAAAAAATAGGCACTTTTTGTATCTATTCCTTCCTTAAATAAAATTTATAACAAAATTATTATAAAATATGTGTTTTATTTCATAACTACCTGGTTTTTATTCAATATGGCGCACCGATTGGTAAGTAGTAAATGATTGTTATAGATCTATTGTATGTATGTAATTTAATTTATCTACAAACTATAGGCTATGATGGATGAAGTTATTACTTCACTTGCTTTGGATTGTTTTGGTTGGTTGGTTCTTTGGTATAAGACGTGGTCAGGCGTGCTCGTGTCCCGATTTGCACTGCAGTCTCAAGGCCTCTTGTGCTTAAGCAAGTTCCGTCCCTTTGGTGAGATCTAGCAACTTGCTGGCAAGTGTCTCATTCCGCGTTGTATTCCTCCAAATAAATTTCTTCTGCGAGCCAGTCGTATATTATGTCTAAGACGGTTTCCTCCTCTTCAGTCTACATTTGCTGCTTTAAGATGGCAGTGTTCTGCTAGTAGTCCTACCACCCGTCTTATCTGAGCACGCGTTACTGACAGTACTTCAGCTTGTAGCAATTAAGCTACTTTGTCATTTTATTATTATTTTAAGTATGTAAGTTTAATATATTTTAGGTGTTTTCAAATGTAATCACCGGTATTGCTGTTTATATCAATTATTGTAATGCATTTAAAGCAACTATGCTCATTTCCATTTAAATTTAGGTTACTAATTTGATTTCGCCCAGCTCTATATCCTTTCGGATGATACCAATCCTTCCAGCTGCTCACGCCACCTTTTTTGGCTAGCTTCATCCTGCAATTATTTTAATTGAGCACGGTCTTGCTTTAGGACGGGCCACTCTTTCTTGGTGGCTTGGTTAAGCGAGTCGACGTCAGTGACTCAGCGAGCCCTTCTGTTTTTTGGCAAACGTGCTAAGTTTTCTTAAAAGTCTCTTGAAGGGGTGAATCCTCCAAATTTCTCTCTGTGGTTCAGAGTGCCATTTATGGCTAATTGAAGAAATTGTTTATTCGTCCACTCGGCCACTTTTTTGTGATTAATTGGAACATTCCAGGTACCTATGTGACAAATCCTTTTATATCCCCTGGTGATGCCAGTGCCTGTAGTGTACTGTAACAAATCATGAGATACGAAGAGCCCCTTGTTCAGGGTGAGTCATGTACTTTTTTTCTCATAAACTTTAAAGACAAGCTTTTTGTCTATTTCACCTTTCTTTTAATAAAAAAAGAGACTATCAGTAATATTTCTGATAGGGTCCTACTCCTACATCCAGGCCCAGTATTGATCCAATTCAATAAAGACGGATGCTTCCCTGAACTTCCTGTGTCCCTACTTGTGGGATCATTTTCATGATCCCTGATGTATACTGCCTATCGTCCCTGATGACACCTCGACTTGAAAGTAATGACTATAGGTTTTTTAACGTTTAAATTTTACCTTTTAAATTATATTTTTATCGAGCATAACCCAATTGGAATGTCTCATTCCCATGTTCAGTTTGCTGTTCGGCTGAGCATGTGAATTTTCAGAGCAGAAGACTCAACGAGGTCGTTTTATATTTTTATTGAGCATTACCTAATAATAGGAATGTCTCATTTCTATGTTCAGCTCGCTGTTCGGTTGAGCATATGAATTTTCAGAGCAGATAGACCCAACGAGGTCATTCAATAGTGTATATTTTTTATTGAGCATTACCTAACAAATGGAATGACTTATTTCTATGTTCAGTTTGCTGTTCGGTTGAGCATATATTATGTTTCCCAAATTAAATAAAATGATCGATCATTATTATTATTTTACACAATAGTAATTAGTTAAGTGTAGTACTGGGTTGGAATCAAGTTATTCTTACATTCATGATACTCATTAAATTGAAATCCTAGATTTTGTCATTTTTCATCAAACTTTTATTAAACATAATTAAGTGGAGAGCAATGCTGTATTATTTCTTTTTGTACATAATATTTCTGAGGTCTATTTCGAAGTTTGAGATCTTATAAATAAAAACTTCGTGGCGCCCTCAGTAAACACACTTCGTCAGCCTTTCTGTTGCCATCTATCCCCTATGTCCAGTAACCCACAGGGGCCTTATCCTGTTATTCATTGACAACAATGCTTTTCTTTTTTGAAATTGATTTAGGTAATTGGAAAATATGAAAATTAAATTATTAATTCCTTAACATTTTAAATCATTATAAATTAATATATTCTACTATTATGTTCTGTTGCTCTTTCAGGGCTTGAAAAGTATAAATGAATATACGAAACGCCGCCGTGAGATAAGTGGTTCCTTTCTTCCTCATAAGCCATGAACTAACTAAATAATGATCCAGGGAAATGAATATTCTTTCAATTATTATTTAAATACTGACACCCTCTAGGCTTTATTTAACTTTTTTCCAACTTTATGTCGTTTCGAATGTCTCGCAACTGGTGAAATACTTTTATATACACTTGGTTGGTTTAAGACACAGCCTCAAGGCTTATTGTGCTTAAACAAGTTCCGTCCCTTTGATGAGATCTAGCAGCTTGCTGGCAAGTTTCCCATACCAAATTTCTCTCCAAATAATCAGTACTTCATAGTCGGATATTATGTGTAAGGCAAATTCCTCTTCTTCACCACACAGTTCACATGTCGTTGGGCCATTGTAAACTCTCATTTTCTGCATGTGCGCTCTAAGATGGCACTACCCAGGAACCCATAGGAGCTTTTTCCTATTAATCCTTGATTATCCATCGTTATCTTCGAAGTAAATCGATGTGCTTTTAAAGCAGCCTGACTGTCTGAGAGAATGCTTATGTTCTGATTGGCATAACCCAGCCTTAGAATCTCCTGTAAGCATGCTTGAATTACATGAATTTCTGCCTGGTGAACTGCGGCGTTAAGACTCAGATGGATGCTTTGTTCTAATCTTGGTCTTTCTCCATATGCAGCCGTCTGCATACCAGAACATGCCTTATAGTTTGAGACAGTCCTTCCTGCCATAATAGGCTTGGATCGCATATGACTGAATGGTTTCTGAAACTTATGGGTTACCACCATTTAATCCGTTGGCTTTTCTACTATGTTATCTTCCATCAGGTCGATAACTTTTTCTTGTCTGTAGTTGCCTGGTATTTCTTTTCACTTCCGGCAGCCTCAAGTACGGCTGCGCTTTTAATGTGAACATTGAGGGAAGCTAGCCCTAGTATTGCTTCCAGCCCTTCAGTGGGTGTGCTTCTTATACACCCGATGATGCACAGACATGCCAGTCTCTGGAGACTGTTCAGTCGTTACTTGTGCTTTTATCCACCATATTGCAGCTCCGTATACAACTATGGGTCTGAAAATCGTGGTATCAATTCTGCATGTAGACCAATGTCTGCTTTGTTGAGATTTCTCTCTAGATGTGAGTTCCATGTTAACTTTGCGTCTAGGAATAGACCTATGTAGGTATTTCACTTCGTCACCTATTTGTTACAAATAAATTTGATTATTTTTAATTTAGAGCAAGAGAACCTAAAGGGTCGTCGAGTTCAAACCTGTACTCTTTATGTGCAAATGAAACCACTCAAACTCCAAGAAACAATAATTTTGTTACTGGTAAATAATAAGTAACAATACAAGTAACGATGTAATTAACATGTTACTTTTAAAATTTGGAAGTTAACAGGGGCACTTTCCAAATTTCACCGATAAATTGACCGGTTAAATAAACCGGTAGCTGTTAAAAAATTCCGGTAAAACTTAGGTGTAAGTCCGGTTACAAGATTTTTCTGATGCATTTTGGAACGCTTTGGTGTGTAAAAGTTTGGTTGTGATGGTTGTGTTTCAACAATTTAACGAAAGACTGCCAATAGTAACCATTCAAAGCAATTGATGTACAGGGTGTCCGAATTTGGATGGTTTTGATAGGAAACGTCAATTTCTGAGCGAGATACAAAAAAATGAACCCCCCACTCCGAGGCTCAAATTTCTTGAAATTTTGATTGGTGCAAACCGCATTTTAATATCTTCAACCGTTTAGCCGCTAGAGGGCGATTCTCGATTTTGAGCAATACTTTGAAATCTTCATAACTTTTTTGTTTATAAAAATAACTGATTTCCGTAAAAACTTCCTAGAAGCACTTTTTCAAGCAGAATTCAGTGACGTTTTCAGTTTTTTTCTATTCGGCCTCGATTTCAAGATATTGACCAAAATACGATTTTTTTCAATGGGACACCCTATATATTAATAGTTCATTAGAAAGCTCTGATTTTGCTGATTTCAATGATACAAATTTCGATAGGTTTATCTCTAACAGTTTTCGAGAAAAAAAATTTTTCGGCTTTAGTCATAAGAAACAATGAGTTAGAAAGAGACCTTTCTCAGTTTACTTACAGATATAAAGTCCTTTTCCTACACATTGCTTCTTATGACAAAAACCGAAATAATTTTTTTTCTCGAAAACTATTAGAGATAAACCTATCGAACTTTTATCATTGAAATCAGAAAAAGCCCAGCTTTCTAATGAGCTATTAATATATAGAGTGTCCTATTGAAAAAACCAGACTTTGGTCAATATCTCGAAGTTGGGACCAACTAGAAAAAAACTGAGAACGTCACTGAATTCTGCTTTAAAAAGTGCTTCTAGAAAGTATTTACGGAAATCAATAATTTTCATAAACAAAAAAGTTATGATGGTTTCACATTATTGCTCAAAATCGAGAATCGCCCTCTAGCGGCTAAACGGTTGAAGATATCAAAATGCGGTTTGCACCAATCAAAAGGACCCCGCACAAAAAGATAGGAAAAGTGGTCCCGGTCAAATCGTCTGAAATTTTGATATGATATACTTCTCGTTATCCTGATTAAAAGCTGTCATGGACACAAAAAAATCTATCGAGGGGTTTTGGAGTTATAGGTCCTCAAAGTTGTCATTTTGGATATAGATGTCAAAGTTCATAATTTGGTCAAATACTATTAAAAATAGAGTAAATAAACTTCAAAAGATCAGAAATACTTAAATAGTGTAAGTAAATACATATGTTAGAAAATGATACAATAAAGGTGCTGTTTCTTTGTTATTAGTTAGGGTGTTCATCTGTTGTTTC